GGCGGGTAGGCCCCGGCGGCGGGGGCCGCCCCGGAGGCGGGCAGCCCCTCTCCCCGGCGATTTCCCAGAGCGAGGCGGGCAGCGGGTGTCCGTCCTTGCGCGCGGACCGGGTGAGGCACTAGGCGGCCTCTCGGGGTTCCGACAGGTCGACGGCTTTTGGTTTCCTTTCTTTCGGGTACTCTGAGGAGAACAAGCTCTGAAATTACCAGCAAACCAACTCCTGGGGTTCCCCTCTTAACTACAACGGCGGGGGGCCGCTGCCCCGAGCCCCCCGGCGGCAGACCCAGACCCGCCTCTGCGTTGGGGCTGAGGCGGTCCCTCCCCTCGGCACCCCCGTCAGCGCCGTTCCAAAGGGGCGGTCGGCACCTGGCGGGGCTGGGTGAAGCGTCCTGCGGGTGGGTGTAAGTAACGTACTCGGAGCTCCTCGGGAAGAGATGTTGCTTCCAGTAAAAATAACAGCAAATTGTCCCATTTCCTGAAATACTGACGTCTGTTGAACAGATGCCGACAGAAAATCGGAATATCCGAACAGAGTTTTTTAATATTGAGAAGTGCTTAAAAAAACTCAAGCTATTTAAAATAATAGAAATTGGTTCAGGAAAACTGTCCTTTAAAACCAATGAGGAAAAGTCCTCATGATTCTTCAAGAAATTATTCGTTAAAAACGCCAAAAGTCGTGGCAGCTTTACTGTTACACCATATGCAAATACCTGTACTATGCAATACACAAACACCTTTTGAAAATAGACCAAATAATGGCTTAAAATGTAAGTTTGAAAATAGGAATGCATGGGTCCATATCCAAAAGTTGAGCTAGTAATTCTTACGGTTACATTAAATGGCACTAAATGACACCACAATATACTGAATAACATTACAGAAATTTTAAGAAGCGTGTAGTGTATTTTCTAGCATAATTTACAATAATTCTGGAGTGATACCGAAGTGCAGTTCTAGATTCAATTTAATCTCTCTCCATGTGGAAGTGGCTGTGACGGAAAGAGCTCCTAGTTCTTCAGCAAAGAATGGTAACATGCTCCTATAATGCCTGAATCAGGTGCAAAAGGGAACAGCTGTACTTGTTGACCTAGAAATTCAGCAGTATGACAGAGTAGTTTCTCATACTGCATCTGCACATGGTCTCATTAATTTCCCCATTTTATTTCAGGCTTTGAAAAAGGTTTGAGGGGGATAGGTATCATGCTATTACTGAATATTTATGAAATATATGAGTCTTTAGAAAAATCTAAGCCTTTACTTTCGTCATCAGGAGGCACAAAAGCTCCTCTTAACCATTATAAAAATCCTATAGCTTTCTATCTGTAGGTAATGTCTATTCGTTACAGGAAAAAATGAGCAAATGAATTATACAGTGTAAAGACTTTTTTTTTGTTAATGAGTAACAGGGTGTTCTAAACGGTTCATTTTTATCACTGATTTTAATTACCTTAGAATAAAATCCTTACATACATGACGAACATAATAAATAAATTATGGCATTATGCAATAAAAATGACAAAAAGTACAGTATGTATTATTCAGGCTGTAAGCTTCATTTCTGGTTTCAAATATCCCCGTTTCAAACTTCTGTACTTTTAAATTAGCAAAAGGTCATCATGCATTCCCACTATTATCAATGGAAGTCTTTCTATTTATATTTCAAAAGAAATAGAGTAGGTTTTCAATACTGTGTTTTGTCTAGGGACTATCTTGAAAGTTTCTTTAGAAATGTTGGTTTGAATCAGAGAAATGTCAAAATGTCAAGTTCCAAAAACCAGTAGCAAAGTCATTTTACTTCTGGTTATACTTATTTTTTAAGAGCTGGGTAATTCTGAGAAAAATGCATTTCTAAAATTGGTCATTAAAATTTTCAGTAGGCACTCCATTGTCTTTCTTTCTGATTTTCACACTGGCCATATAAGAGAACCCAGAGTCCAACGATTCCAAAAATATCTATCGTGTTTGAAATGGGGGCCCCTTCTGTCAGGTACTGTATTTTCAGCTCTGATCTCTAGTTCAGGAGCAACTCTTAGATTTCTAGTCTTGAAAATACATGTGTTGACTTCAGGTCTTTGAAAGCTACCAAATAGTTTTCAATAATCTATTTATAATATTGCTTGTAATATTTTATTCTGCCTTTTTTTTTACATCAAATTTCACTAATAATTTCCCAAAACTTAACAAACACACAAAAAACTTATTCTGTAGTTCTCTGCCACAGTTTATTGATTTTTGTGACATCTGTCATTTGTGCTGTAAGGAGTACCTTTTCCCTTATTCCAGGGCCTAGTTATCTGACAAAATATTAAATGCTGAAGATAAATGACATGGTAGGTAATTTGATATTTCTCTTAGATATTTTCTTTTTTGCACATGGAAATAAGTAAAAATAAATGGCTAACACTTTGCTGTGGGAGTCTGACACAGTATAATTATACAGATTAATAGCAAAAAAGCATTGTAAAGCACTGCAGCAAATTAAATTACGTTTCTGGCAACTTTGTTAGTGAATTAGAGAAAATGGAAATACAGGTTCAGAAACAGAAAAGAAGCTCAGTAGGAAAAATACTGAAAATAAACACAGAAAGAGGATGAACAATGAAAAATAAATGCACTTTATAAAAATAATTGGAAAAATATCTGAGAAAAATCTTGTTCTTTCTCTTCAAAGAGGTGAAAGACATGTAAAATGATATTCCAGGATCTCAGAAATATGCCAAAGTCTTCTAGCAAAAAGGAGCAATTGAGTATCTAATATTAGCAAGGTAAGAGATCTTAAGGATGCTTTTAAATGACAAGAAGAGGAATTATAAATATTGGAGTGACTGAGACATGAATGTTTTATTTTTAGTTCATTTTCACCACATAAGTAGTTTGGGTTTTTTAATATTCAATTGCATTTGTCCTTACCTGTCCTTATGCACATTTCTGGCTTTTTTCTCACCTTCTCTCATTTGGTGCATGCACAGAAATTTACATTTACCCAGGACTATTGTACACAGATAACAGCTTTTTTTTTTTTTTTCCCTAATTTTCTAGTTGCTGACTTTAATGTCAAAATTCATATCTAGGATTGACAAAAACATGTAAAATGCTGAGATATTAGACAGAAGCACTGTCTAAAAAGTACTAGAGGGTAAAATTTCCTAGTATGTTTCCTCTGTTGGTTTGGGAGGGAAACAAAGAACATGTTCATTGAAGAAATTTTGCACAACACAGCTGAGGACAGGACAGCAAAGGAACAAAGTTTAGAAGCATGAATTATAGTGCTTAAGACCATGCTACTTTTCATTTTTTGTAATGTTAGGATTCAGAGCCAAGTTGGACTCCAAAAGCGGTATGTGCAGCAGGCAGCCTTCAATAAGGGAGTTTGTTGCAGAAGCCGTACCTTTGTGGTTTTGCATTACAAACCATTAAAATGAGGAAAACATAAACTCACATGAAATAAATTCAGCAGCAGGTTAAGTTTTTACATGAAGCACTGAAAAAAACAAAAAGCTAACAGCATGGGAATTAATGAGGAGGAGACTGAGGAGAGTAGAAAAGATGTTTTTGCATTCAGAGAGGGGAGCATATAAATTCTACTAACTTCAGATTTGCTTTTTCTGTTCCTTATATTCTGTAGAGGAATATTTAAATACAATACATGGCTGGACATTTTGAAAGTATATAATTACTTAGCTCTGTTTCTTGAGATAACAGCCCTATCTATTATATATGGCTTCATATATATGCTAATTTTCAAATAGTATTCATTTACCTTAAGAACAGAAAGTGCTTGAATTGATCTTTAAGACCACTATTCAAACTGCTTAAGAAACTGATCTTTTGAGGTGCATAGAACTTCAAAAGTTAAATTCCTGAGTAACTTTAAATCCTAAATTCATCCAAACCTGAAGAATTGGAATTGTCTCTAAGCAAGAACTCTAATATGACAATCTGTGATTTCTGTTCTGGGCTTGCTTACTAACTCAGTCCTAGGAAAGTAGACATGTTTATAATCTATGCCTCAATTTCTCCTCTTTTGAAAGGGAGGTAGTATACTTGCCTTCCAGATTAAAGTTTATATAGTACCTCTCAAAACATTTGACAAAAAATGCTTTAAGTGATACAATAAATAAATATTTTGCTGACTTGAGCTGTCTAATTTTTTAAAAAGCAACAATATTAGGATTTCTTTTTGTGGAACAGTCAGTCTCTAATGTTTTTCTGTGAATTTATTTGTACATACAGTCCCTTCAGATATATTGGGAAAATGTTTTCAAGTACAGCCATCATCAGATCTACATGCACCATTATTGTCACAGATATTTTCATTACCAGGCCAGTCATTATCTCTCTAACCCCCCATGCGTATAGACCCATGCTATGATAAGAATAATAGATTTTTCTCTGCCTTGTTTCTCCTGTAGGAGAAAAATGCACAGAAATCACATTAAACATTAAAGTGTTATCACTAGTAATGTTTGCAAAATCTCTTCCACATTCTCTCCCAGGTCATCACACCTGCAAAGTGTCATGCAGTTCAGGCTTACTCTGAATCCAGTACCTTTCTGTCCACTCAGAGGGTAGTAAGGCTGTAAGCGTGCAGTTGCTGCCAAATATCTCCTGCCTTACAAGCCACCATGCCTGGAAATACAGGCAGGAGAGCCTTCAAATGGAAGGCTTCAGTATACTTTGGGGCACTC